ACTCTCATATTCTATCCAAAGCCCACTCCTTGTAATCTTTTGCACGGATAAAGACTACGAAACTCTCTCTCTCTCTCTCATCTACTACATCTCTACTTTTTCTTCATGGTTTTTCCTCCACCAATAGAAGACATCTACTACATCTCTACTTTTTCTTCATGGTTTTTCCTCCACCAATAGAAGAATATATATAGGAAAACATATACCCTATCTCTAGCCTAACTTTCTAATTAGAATAGGATTCAAACTCCTAATCATGATAAAATCCAAACTCCTAATCATGATAGAACTCAAACTCCTAACTAATTCTCATGAAGTTACACAAAGAATCAAAGACAAAATCCCAACAACTCTCACATAAGAGGCATTCGAAATAATCATTAATTTAGAGCGAAAAAGTCAAATCCAAGATATCTTTCAGCTGCTAACGAGCGACCCACCACAAATCCAATCTATTTTGGAATTTTTGCCTTCAACCAACATACATAAGAGAGGAGGCTTGTGAGTTCATCTGTAGCTTTTGAGTCTGAAGAAGGGTTGATTCATTGAATCCTAATTTGCTATACTGGTCAGTCAAAAAAACCGGTCCGCCTGCTTAAAAGCGATTGTTTGCGGTGATTGATGAAGCAGAGAAAGGAATTGCTTGTGAATGCGCACTCACTAGAAAAAGATTCTATGACAGGGACTCCATTCCTTGAAGTAAGGGGAACCAACTCATCAGTAGGGGAAGAAAGAAAAGGTTGACTGGAAGCACGAGAGGATGGGCTAGGGCTACTAAATCGAGGGATTCATCGAGAAGAAGAATAAGAGGCCCGGTCTTGAGGCCATGCAAATATGGAAGGAGATCTCGCGGTGGAAGAGGGAAAATTCATTGTCTTGACTCCAAAAGTGCGTGGTGGGGGAGTAGGTGTTGCCTCGGTTGAAGGAAGAGACCCTAAATTCCTCTAAACATCCACTCTCACATATAACTAACTTCTTGCCTTAAACAAGTATAAACAATTAAAAAAAAGTAAAATGAAATAAAAAAAAATTCAACAAGAAGAATACCAAAGCTAATGCTATCGTCAGTTTTAAATTTGGTGCTGAAACATATGTATATACTTTTGCTTTTTCTATAGGTTATTTTCTATAGATAGCCCTTAATTTTCTCCAAAGGACTTTAATTTGGGTGAATAGTAAAGTATGGACTTTGTAATAGGATCTCCTTGTGAAAGTTAAAAGAAGAAACGAGCGGAAATCACCTTAAATACCAAGAGATTTCACCGTAGCTAGCTTGAAGTGGAGCCTGCTCGTTTCAATTCTTTATGCTAATACTTCTTGTGGCAAGTCATCTGTACTGCACATGTATTGTTAAATTTCTTGTTCCCACATGTATCTTAGCAATTAATTGTATTTATAGTTCGACAATTCTCTATAATGAAACTTCATAAGTTAATAATATAATTTCAAGTAATTGTTTCCTATTTCCTAAGAAGAATTAAAATATAATTTAATACGTCTCTCACTCATTCAACTGGCATGGACGTATTCGGTTGAAGGAAGAAGTTGAAAAGAAGTATACATTTGAGAATTATATTTTTCCTTTTGTCTTTGCCAGAACCTACAACCTACTATTGCCTAAAATCACAGGTTTACTGCGTATCGTAGAAGGCCCATTTAGGCTCAACGTTCTACTCAACGGCCACAAGAGCCTGGGCCTAAGGCCCAAACGATTAGCAATTTTGCTCAGGAATAAAAGATAACAAACCTGTAATTTATGTGATTTTAAATTTTAGAGAACCGAAAGAGGAAGACAGAGGGGGGTCACGTGCCTCGGACGAGAGACAAGGGATGGGCCCCTAAAATAAATGCACATCATCCCGATAACAAAATTATACCCAAATTCAACCGCTTTGGATATCGCTCACGCTCACATTCGTGTAACGGTAACCAACGAATAACACCAATCAATCCCAAAAATCAAAATAAATAGTAACGAATCCCGAAAGAGACATCTCACCGAATCTTATGACATTTAACCACCGTCTTCTTCTTCTTCTTGACTTGGTGTTAAATATATATATATATAAGACTATGAACTTAGCTCAACCACTTAATATTTTAGCCCATTTGGGTTTGTATGTAATCAGAATTAATCATCTGGTTCTAACTGTGGGCATCAGATAATTTGTGCATAACTTTCTATTTTCAAGTTTCTTGGGGGTGTTAATCACCTATAACTTAAAATTAGAACCGGGATAATATATGGGATAAATTTTTAAGATGTTAGTCACGTAGAACTAAAAGTAGAACAAAATTTTACAGTGTTAGTCATGTAGAACTCTAACAAAACTAGAATTTGGATAATGGTACAAAATTATCCTTTTTTTATTTTTCTATATAAAAATGCGAGTTCTACTCTCTCAAATTATTCCAAATTTTAGCTTGGAACTATGTGGTAAAAAACTAAAACTCATATTTATTTTGTTATTTTTATTTTTTATATTTTTTTTCTTTACTTGTTTCCTATTATAGTTATCATCATCATTAGACCATCATTATAATAATAATTGTCAATATCTTATAATCTAACCAAAAGTTATTTAATAGTAAAGAACATTCTTGTAAGCAATTATCAATCAATAATAGTAAGTTTAAAATACATAAATAGTATTTATATCTTTAAAATGCATAAATATATATTTCATGATTATAAAAATTTATCCCACGTTATTTTATTAAAATATTTCGCTTCACAAAATTGATTCTATTTATCCCACTAAAATATCTCACTAGCAAAAAATTATTCCACTTTAACAATTATCTTATTTTGCATGAAAATATCCCAATTGACTGACACTCCCTTTACCTTTTTTTTCTAATTTTAAAAAGAGTGAAGATCTTCACTTAATTACTATTAAACAAGAAAGATAATAAGTCGGAGGATAAGTTTTCCTACATGATCGACTCATGCTAATTAATCTTTTGAGGACCGTCGCACGTGAAGGCAATCATAAAAGCACATGGAAAATCATTTTAGAGTAAATTAAGAAAACATTGGTATATTCACAGTTAGACTGTGTGGTGACATGCATGGCAGCAATCTAGAGGCATTAACTTTAATAAACTATGTTTCAATTAATCCCTTATTCCTTCATATATCCTTCATTATATTTCTCCTTACATGTCACATGATGTCTCTTTTGCTTTAACATAATTCAGAAAAAAAGAAAAGGGTAAGCATAAAGCGTTGATCTTTATCCCTAACAGGATTCCTAATCATCAATGATCGATGAACCATGGCTTTCTTTGCATAGACCACCTTTTCGCATTATCATGACATTATAAAGTTGTTATGGGATAATAAAAGAAAATATTTGTTATCTAATCAAAATTAAGAAAAATATTACCTTCGTCGTATTTTTTTTATGTGCTTACCTTGCTAGTAATGGTCCCACTAATATGCGTCAATTAAATAAACAAAAATTCATGTCTACTTATATATTTTTATAAGCTACTAATTAATGTTAGTGTAAGATTCTCCTTTTCTGCAAAAATCCAAGTATCCAATTACTTCATGTGCCCTACCTAGCCTCGTGGCTAATGTTACTCTATGACTATGAGGTACTATTGCTATTAATAAATTAGTTTAGTAAACGAGATCTACAACAAAGTAGTACTTTAAAGCAAGAAGATATAATTGAGACCCTTGTGACCATGGGTTTTAATTATAGTAGACTCATAAAAAAATCTCGTTTACCAACATACCCTTTACTTCTAACCTATAGGGGTATATGATTAAGGGCTTTGTTACCACCATTAAGCTTGTTTTTTGTGATAGAGTAAAAAATTGGATACAATACCAAACAAAAAAAATTGAGTTTCATTTATTTTATAAATGAAGAGAGAAAAGAAAAAGAATAACTTAGTAAAATGAGTATACTCTTAATTACCAACAACATCTATTTATTATATATTTGGGTGTATTAGATATGAGTTGATATCTTATTTAGCAAAATAAGCTATTAAGAACATAAATCCAAGGTCTGCACCGTTTGATCTAACTCTCAAATTGACCACACCAGTAATCTATCTCTGAGTTATTCCATCAAACTCATTTCCATAGATGCGTATTATGAAAAATGATAGAAGAAAAATACCAGTCCTTATGCGATATGTCTATCAACATGATTCAAGTAAGATTATGACATGTTAGAAATACACCAATTAATAAATCACTCAATTATGGATGCAAAAAAGATATGATTATCCGCGGATACATTTGGGTCTACATCTAGTAAGATACATACTAAATATCTACATCTTGTAGGGTAAAATACAGAGATATATCAGTAAAATTTTTAGTTTGTATTTGAATATCTGTATCACTCATGTGACCAATATTATTTTGACAGCTATACACTAATAGATTAATAGTCAATTTTGATGATTTAGAGACCTAACCTCACCCTTTTAGATATGCCATACATACTTATGAGACTCATTTTATGACATTTAAACATCTCTTTTTATCGTATCATCTATTATTTTTATGTATTATTGATTTTTTCTCATACGTGTTTTCGCGTATACCTTCCCTCTTATTTGATCTATATTTGTATTCCAATTTGGTGCACATAACTACAAAGTATTGTGCAGAATCTTATCCGTAGTACTCATAATTAACAAGCAAATACGAATATGATAGGTATTGCATCTAATCTTCTACTACAGTAAATGCTGCTAGAGCATGTATTACTGTAGCAAAAAGAGAAACATACTAATTTTTGAAAATCACTGTAGCACAGGGGGTACTGTAGCATTTCTAAAACTATCGCAGGGGTGTAACATTTAAAAATCGGGATTACTGTGACGGAAAAAAAAGATATGTCGTGCTTTGCACGGTGTTCACAACTAGTCATAATTAATAAGCGAATAATAGGTATTGCATCTAATCTCCTGCTCCGGTCCACTTAACCACTGTTATATATTCCTCAAACCAGGCAAAATAAATCATTGTCCCCGTGACTAATCCTCAACTACTTCCTTTCATCCAAAGTTACACAAAGATCCTCTCTCCATTATGAGACTAAAGTAGAGAGAGAGAGAGAGAGAGAGAGAGAGAGAGAGAGAGAGAGAAGCCTTGGATCCCAAACCTTCACCTTCCACTCAATTGCCACATTCCTTAGAAACAGAGCAAGAAGAAACAGGGGATTTGCGGTGAATATGCAGCCAGGAGCAAAGAGAAGAGCCAGAAGCAACAATGGTGGGTCGGTTTGGGAGAACAGGATGAAGATGGATCAGGTCAAGGGCGGAGTCAGAGTGTTCAGCGGAGGCAACGGTAGCAATGCAGGCGAAGAAGGGGTCCAAGTCCACAGGAGGTTGAGGAGAAACCAGAGTGAAGGAAGCAACGGCAACAGCGGCAGCGTCGAGGGGAAAAAGAGAAGAAATTGGAAGCCCCCTGAGCCTGCGGACTCCATCCAGTTGAGGAAGTCTAAATCGGAATTGTCGAATTCTTCGAAGGTCGGCTCTAACGGAGAAGACGAGGAGGAGGAGGATGATGATGATGAGATCGAGATCGAGGGTGAAGTGAAGGGTTTTGATGATAAAGAGATCGATTTGCCCGTGGAGAAATCGAAGCCGAAGATGGTTGTCGAAGTTGGAGAAGAGAAGAGGGTTAGTCAAGTAAATGAGATACCCATTGCGCCAGAGATTGGAATGAAGGAGAATCCGGAGATGGATCTTAAAGAAATGGAGCCTGATCCTTTGAAGCCACAACCAAGTAATTCTATTGGTTTCATAAACTTGATTATTTAATTTTGTTTGTAATCTTATTAGATTTTTTTTTTCTGCTTTCTTCTTCAGCAGTTGAAGTTGAGGAGGAGATGCTTGAGATCGGATCAGAGACCCAGAACAGAATGCAAAACATTGGTTAACTCTCAAATCCTGAAATTTGATTAAATCTTCATTTGAAAAAATTCGGTAAAAAAACTAAATTAATTGTTGAAATTTCCTTTTCAGTTGATCTGGTAATGTGGAGAGACATCTCAAGGTCTGCTTTTGTCTTCGGACTTGGTACATTCATCCTCCTCTCTTCTTCGTACACCAAAGATATTGATTTCAGGCAAGTTCTATTTTTCTCAAATATCGTTTGTTAAATATTTAATCAAAATTGCCTCATAATTCCAATCATGCAGCCTTTTATCAGCAATTTCCTACCTGGGTCTTGTTTATCTGGCCTTAGTTTTCCTCTACAACTCCATCCTTAGAAGGTGATTATATTTTTACATTAATCCAGCAAAATTAATTACAGGAAAGGAAAAAAAAAAGAATTCCTCTGTTTCTCTCTTTAAAAAACACATCGCTTTTTAAAAACAGGGGAGACGTAGAATTCGAAGAGAGATGCTTAATTGGAGAAGAGGAAGCCGCTTGGGCCTTGAGATTTCTTCTCCCTTACATAAATGAGGTGCTTATAAAGATCAAAGCCCTTTTCTCTGGGGATCCTTCCACAACAATGAAGGTGACAGAATTCTTGGGTTTTCTGTTTTATCTTCTCTTTTTCTTTTTCTTTTTTAATATTTCTTATGCAATGAAATGTGAAATTTTCTAAAAATAGAAAAAAATTGTGTTGACGGCAGATGGCAGTGCTGCTGTTTGTTATGGCCAGGTGTGGGAGCTCCATCACCGCCTGGACGCTGGCCAAACTCGGTAAAATTTCAGCGTCCCTGTCTTTTACCGAGAATATTACTGAATTTTTTTCTGATTGATTTGTTTGTTGCGATTGGCTGCAGTGTTCTTTGGGATTTTCACCATCCCAAAAATCTTTTCCTCTTATTCCCTTCAGCTGGCCAAATATGGTAAATCGAATAAGTTGCTGAACTTTTTGAGTAATTTCACGTGGATTAGTTTCTTCTTATTATTATTATTCTTCTTCTTTTTTAATTAAATTAAATTTTGGTTCTTCTTAATAACTTCAGAAAAAGTGGCAAGTGTGGATAGTGGTCCCTTTCCACATGAATCAGGACTTAGGAGTCATTGTCCCTGGTTGTTGGGCACGAAACAAAAAAAAAAAAAAAAAATACTTCACTGAGGCTTAAAGCCTTGAAGATAATTTAAGTAAAAAGAAAAAAATGGCTCATTTTGCATGTTTTGCCTGAAATCAGTAAACACAATGAGCAAACACTCTCGAGATCGAAAACTCACTTCCGATACTATTCAAACTTTTTCTGAAGGTAAATTTTGGATGGAGAGGTTTGAGGACGGATGGGAGTCGTGCACCCACAAGAAAGCTGTTGCTGCTGCAGTCTTCGTTCTCATATGGAATATTTCCTCCACCGTAGCTAGAATTTGGGCCGGTGAGCTCCCTCTGCTAATTGCAAATTCCCAATGCAATGGAACTTAACGGCAATTAATCAAATAGCTTTGCTACAGGGACCCAAAATATGTGACCAACAAGGGGGAGACATGTGAGGTGTCCCTCTCCTATTGCATAATGAGCTGATCATCATTAATAATGACCAACTTGTTATGCAATAGGAGGGGCACACCTCCCCTGTTGGTCTTATATTTTGGGTTCTTGGGGAATTTTTCCTAATTCAAATGATTATTAAAATTATTCTTTAACCACCGATGAATATCGATTGTCGATATACACGTAACAGACTCTGTTGTGTCATGTGACATCAGTACTGATATCATCATATTAACATTTGACATCTTATCAAAATCATACCGTCGCTAACACAATACAGGGCTAATACTAGCAGATCTTTTAAGTGGGTGCTTGGCAAACAATACAAAATTAGGCCAGGATCAGTCCTAGTCCAATTTTGTGCTAAAGCCATTATTTTTGGACCAACCTTTCCTGATCCAAAAGAAAACCAGTTTAACGGTCGTATTTTGGCCTATGAAAACATGTCCAGATCCGGCACTCTTGTTTGCCAAACAAAAAAAAAAAAATTCAAAACCGGGCCTAAGATTTTTCTTCTTGTTTGCAGTGTTTATGCTGGTGGTGGCAGTAAAATTCTACCAACAGTGTGCAGCAGAGTGGAGCAGCACCGCTGTAAATGACGAGCAACAGCAGCACGAGGAGCAAGGAGGGCGGGATGAGATCGTGGCGCAGCGAGCAAAGAGGCAAGAAGATTCCAAGGCGGTAGGGCCGTCGAAGAGCCCAAGCACGAGCCTACTCCACCGACAGCAAGGAAATGGGCCCAAGAGAGAAGCAACAAAAGTGAAGAGATGGACATAAAGATAATAAATAGTAATCGCAATCATAATAATATTGATGGGGTGGGGGCCCAAAAGTGTTTGGAGGTAGATCTATGCACAGGGAGGTTCTTCGTCTTCTCTTTCTATAAGATATAAGCCTGCACGTGACACCCAACCCTTCTTCTTCTTCTTATGGTGTACAGTCTCGTTGTTTTTAGAAAGTTTCGAGTATTATTGTTTTGGGGAGATTTTTTTTTTTTTCCTTGGTGTGCTATGGTGACGGTTCACAAAGGGTGTTTGTTGGAGGGAGTGGAGAAACCAACAAAAGCTATAAAGTTTTAGCCAATTGATGCTCGTGCGCAACACGAGCGAGATTTTGCAACGTCAGGTGTATTTTCTATTAGAAATTGTATTAAGACTCGTAGTCAACGGGAGTTGTTACCTCCATTGTGAAGGCATTATCTATGGAGCAAATGTCGACCTCGAAACCGGTGAGCCTAACCTCATCCGCAGCTAGGAAACCGATTCAGGTCCGATCTAGTTGACTCTGGACCCGACGAGACCAACCAAATACCTAACATGAAGGGAATTATTGATCTCTAAATCCTGTACATGGTGGCGTCTGGTCTTAATCATATCCAATCGCATTGCCTTACATATATTTGCATTAAAGAGCAGATATACAAAATTACAACTAGATAATGACTTAGTTTCTCTCTTTACTATGCAGCTCTGTATATAAGCACATACATGTACACGTGACAGATGACGGGTCTAATTGAGATAGCAGGACCATTTACTACTCTTGAGAAAATTGTATTTTACTTTATAAATAAACTTGAACAGAATGATACAAAAGAGTTGCGGTGACTCAAGGGAAGAGGGGGAACAACCCCTGGCATTACCACCATATTACAAGTCCGCAACGAAATAATAATGATTTACAAATTACAACAGAAAAAAGGTTGGGGATAAAAAAGAAGGAAAAACACAAAACAAAGAGCTACACTATTTTGCCATAATTACAACCCGGGTATCCAGACGGATGATGTAATTACATGGGTTGCCCTGAGTTTGTGTATTTACATGGATAAACCTAAGTCTAGCGATTGTTAACTATACAGGTAACCCTGAGAGTTATTTTTTGTCTGGGCTCCAAGGTCACCCATGTCGTTACAATTAGTAATGTCAAGGTTATATGTATAGAGACGCAAACTTCAGTGCCACCCGTGTAATAACACCATACCTCATGGTACCGGAATGTAACTGATTCTATTTACAATTTACAATGCCAAAGGTTTCTGCTTAGTGAGTATAATACAGGTTCTCTACCATTGGCTACTCCCCCACATGGTGCATCTCTGTTGCAGGGGCTGCACAAAATATGAAAAATTCAATAGCTTTCAACTTCAAATAAGAGCATAAACTTTACACAATGCTTGGTATGTATAAACTTATGCCTACCTCTTCCAAATGAGCAGAGTAGCCTCTCCTTCTCGGGCTTATTCCCATCAGCTCAAGTGTGGCCCCCTGAAATTTTTATAGGAGGGGGGAATTTTCTTAATAGAAACCCCATGCTGGCACTAAATAGAGAACATGTTTAGTTTACTCGTACGGTTAGTTGGATGAGGAGCTAGTGTCAGAATATTCATTATCTAGTCCTCGCAGTTTTGCTCGGAGAATATGGTAGGCTCTCCTGTTCCCTTTTCTGAGCACTAAGCTTCATCTTCTCATTTTCTGCCTCTTTCCGAGCTTTTTTCTTCTCCAGCTCTAGCTGTTTGCAGTTCTCCTCATGGGCTCGTATAAACATTTTTACAAAGTTGAGAAGCGTAGAAATCACTGGAAAACAATAAGAAAAAGAAGTTTTTGATATAGTTCTAACTAGAGTAGAGTTCAAGGTCATCAGGAGACTTATTTAACCAACTTTTATGATATTAAACGCTCTTTAAAGTAATAAATGTTCAGAAAGCACCAATCCCGCTATGAGAATGACTGAAGACAAATAATAACAAGGAAATAATAGCAAAAAACACTTCTTCTGCAGATTAGTCTCATTTATGCATATTTATGATTTTGATGGAGTTACCTTGCTCAAATGGACAGCGAGCTGGATCTTCTCCAAAATAAAGGGCTAATGCATCTGCATTCCTCCCCTGTAAGATACCTTGTTAGACTCTTGCTATGGAAATTTCAATCCGTAAATTGACTTGCACGTGTCCATGCATTGCTTAATGCTTATTTCATAATATCATTACATACCACATTGGAATAGAATGAAGTTAAGGCTCTCACTTCAGCTTCAGCACCAACCAGAAACTCCTTCAAAGTCTGAACATAATATACCAGTGAGTGAAGAAAAATTGATGAGAATGGAGATATTTTGAGGACAGGTGACATATAGCAGTCCTAAATGATTTTCTATCATTCATATTTTCACAATCTTGATTAATAATAAAGCGGACTCAGTCTGGCACTACATGATGACCAACTCAGGACATAAACCAGCCATATTATTTGGCATACGTTATACTGCATATTGATAGAACATGCTTCTATCATATTATTTTTTGTTAATAATGATATACTCCACTTCTTGTGCATGTCCATACTACATCTCAAGATAGCAAACATGATCTAGCACTTGAAAACAGCTTGTCTAACACTTACATTGAACAGACAAGGTGCAAAAAAAGACGATAATTTGGTCCATGACTAATACTAAATTTGTCTTCTGAAGAATATGGATATCCATCCTTTTACAACAGCAGCAACAACATCAAAGTCTTTATCCCAAATGTTTGGGGTTGGTTACATGAATCCTATTCTTCCATTCCATTCAATTATGGGACATCGCCTCCATTAAGTTCAACATAATAATATCCATCCTTTTACAATATCGCAAGGCATTGGAATAATATCCACAATACCAAAGTACAGAGCCAAATTTATGGAAACACAATAAGCTAGTGTGATCTTATACTTTTTCATGGTCTATCCGTTCCCTCTTCAACTCTTTGGTCTTGTCTGTTCATATCCGACTAATATTCTGCTAGAATGCATTTTTGATCCCATCGCCATCCAATCATATTTGGTAAAGATATATATTTGGTTTTGTCAAATATGAAATTGGTTAAATGTTCTAGCAATATACGTACATGCATACTGAGTTGAAGAAGGTAATACCAATATGCCCCACTTTGAATGCAACCTCTTCAACACATTCATAAGTTGAGAAATGGTCTAGAGAAGGAAAAGTTATGAAGCATTTTATAGTAACTGCAAATAATGGAATTTTTCCCACAGAATATGACATCCTCGTGATTCAATGAAGACAAAATCTTTGCCACCAATCCAATATATGGGTAGGCTACAGGAATACTTACTCAACTATTCTAAATATTCAACTCTTTTAAGGAACGTTTCTCAGCTAATTACCGCCCATAATATCACTTCACTGCCTCAATCGGTGCCCGTTAGATCTATAGCTTGTCCTTGTTTCTCCCCCATCAACTAGACTCCTATTGCCACATTGTTCTCCGCTCCACATGGCCAAAACATCTTAAGCTATGCTCCTCTCATTCCTAATTGGCATTAACAGCTCAGAATGCACTCACTTTTTGTCTTATCTTAGTGTTGCATGCATCTCAACATTTTCATTCAGTTGTTCATAATTCATAAATATTGAGTCAACTTCATGTAAAGATGCATTATGTCAATGAATGTCTCAACAATCACCAATATAATACAAGATAGACAGCAGATTATGCAGGTATACCTTTCGAAAAGTTTCTGATATAGGACCATCGTTTTCAGAAGCCGCCAATTCCTGTTCAACTTTCTCTAGACCTTTACTTATTGCTTGCATTTCCTCTGCCAAAGTCTTTAACATTATCTGCACAACAACTTGTTGTTCAGAGAAATGAATACTTAAAAGGGGGAAAAAAACCAAAACAGCCAACTATATACCTTTGAAGCAGCTTCCAGGTTCACAAGATCCTTGGGAAAGTCTAGCAGCTCTGGAAGCTTATCAGCAAGAACCTGCAGGTTGAAAGCAATGCACAAGGCAACACAGATATGGTTAAAGAGCTTGCAACAATCAATAATGAAGATTGAAAGGAAATGGTAAAAAGATAAACTGAAAGAAGGAAGCCACAGAAACATGAAAGGCAAGATTAATTTTGTAACGCCTTCTAGGTTAGTTGAGAAGGAAAAACATACACCTAGTAACTAGAAATAATGTGGTAGAGTACATTACACAATCAAATAGTAACAGAGTATAAGAAAAGGAATAATAATATTTCTCATTCCAATGTACATAGTAAAAACATATTTTTGACAATGAGTAAGTCATCTACCAAGCAAAGCAATGGTAAAAGTAACTGTTTAAAATAAAACAAATACACAATTTATCAAACTCAACAAATGATAATGATGTAGAACACCACCAGCCCTCCCGGCTCCTGCTGCCCCGGAGTACTAAAAGAAGTAGATAAATCCATAGAGAAATTGGCAGCACTTGAAACCCCCACGGTAAAGTGCCTCTACATGGTATCTATCTGTATCCAGTTACCTCAAGCATTTGCCGAAAGTTCAAACACCCAATGCTCTAGCACATTGGCTAATACAGTGCCTGATCAGAACTTGATAAAACCTTTTAATGATGGATGAAGGTGAAAGCTCTGCTCGGCAAGCTTGCGAGAATCATGACTTGCCTATCTCTAGCATTTCTAAGATATTAATGAACCAACCAAAAAAAACATTAAGTGGTAGGCTGATAATTTTCAGGATCCTTAGCCAATTAGCAGCAGTCCAGTCACAGTGAATAGCACAATGCTACTAACGATAAGCCAAATCACGTAACGGATGAAGCAAGTACAATGCAACACCAACCTAGGAGACTCAAGACAACTCATATCTTGATGACAGCCACTGAAATATACATGCATATAACATGTCACTGACACAGACTAAGTATTGTTCCCAATACGCCTGACATAGACATGGATTCCAATAAGAAGCTTGCATGCTACATAAACATAAACTAATACACCAATGTAAATAGCAGACCAACAATGATAAAACTTACCTTGTTTGATAGGCTGAAAGAAACTTAAGTTGTTTAATTAGGTACAATGAGAGAGAAAGCGAACGAATAACTCAGTTTTTATTAACTTTCCGCTAGAGCATCTTGTAAAACAAAAATACAGCCTTAAGAATGAAGGTACCTTGCACAGATAATGCATGAGGGTCATCCTATTATTTCGTGCACGCGTGTCTGTGAGCTTCAAGAGGCTATCCAACCTAAATCCGATGGCAGAACCTGCAAATGCAGCACACATGAACATCCAGCAGACTTTGAAAGGGAAATTTGCATCAACCCCCCTCTAATTTAGACCTAATATTTTTTTGCTCTTTTCTTAGTTATACCCAATTTTGATGAGGGAAACTTTAGCTTTAGGGTTGGACATGAGTTACAGTTGGAGAATGATATACGCATAGGTTATGATAGGTAGCTTAGGGTTAGGAACAATGGATGTAAGGAGAAGATTTAATAGCTTAGGGTTATGATAGGCAGCAATAGAGGACTTATACTTGGCATGCATGATAAAACAACAGGAAGAAGCAAGGCAATAAAGATCCTTAGATCCAAGACTTGATGCCATTAGGTTGTACAAGGAGCAGAAAACTGTAGGTACAGCGATACAATAATACAATCATGCATTTGAAGAAGGTGACTCTAAATAGCAAGAAGCAGCATGAGCAATCTGTACTAAAAACATATTATCAATCTATACTTAAATATTGTAGATTGACTTACCCCTGGCTGTTCCCTGATTCAAAGCATTTCCCAGAGACAGAATTGTTTGCATGATCCTTTTCAATTTGACAGAGCCCCTGATCTGATAGGCAAAAAACACTGAGTGATAAGATCATGAGTAAATATCCAACTAAAGTATCAGAAAAGATTATATCATACCTCACCAGCAGAAGAGTTGACAACATTAAGATTACTACTCAAGTCAGCAACCTGGAAAAGAAATTTCGAAGAAAGAAAATGTATAATCATATGTATAATGAGAAACACCTGAACGAGCCACAATTTATGTATATGTCTGACCTGGGTGTGAAATTGGATCTTAAACGAGAAGACTCTCAGCTTTGATTCTACCCTCGGAACATTCATCAGCTCTAAAAAGTACTGGTAGATAAACCAGGAATGATGTAAGTGACTTGTTTTGAAAGCATAGGCCAATCTTTCACAAAAAACAATGTACATCATTTCGAGCAGAAAACATTAGGAGGACTTAAGCTTGGTTTTTCTAAAACTATCATCAATTTGATACCCAACACAAATAATAGACTTTCCTAGAGATAAACTAACTATGTGTATCTTACTATCGTCAGGGTGCCACCAAAAAACAAATAAGCCCCATGTTAGAGTGAAACAGGCAGGAAGTTCAGTTGAGATTGCAGGCAAAACCAAATAGGAGCAAGTTCTTCATAACAGCTGATTAGCTTGACGTACTTGGACTCCCTACAACTCCCAAAGCAAACGAAGAAAAGGAAAATTCTTGCATTTGGTTTGATGTAACCTCGGCAAATGTCGGTTCAAAGTGTCTTTATTGTTGGACAACCAAACTGGCCACAGCTAGACGGCATTATTGTTTGACAGGAGAACATCCAAAAGGACCAAAAAATGCCAAATTAGAATACTTCTGAGTTCTTTGATGCATTCTCAGTTGTCAATTTAACAAAACATGAATATTTTCAAAGCTCGCATTTAGAAATGCAGAAAAATGTTTTCATAACACAAGATGCATCAAGCAAGGTACATCACACAAGGTACGGCCTACATGATGGCTCCGTAAACATAAGACCCACATAGGTAAATAACTGGGTAGGTAATTTCCAGGACAATTGTAATAGAGGCCATAAAGGAAAATTACTGACCTGTTCACATTTCCCCAAGCTTTCTTTATCTCCACCAAAACCCTGAAATATATTAAAGTATGTTATGGATATACATAAAAAGACCTAAGAACTAAGCTGCTTGTTGTGAACTATGGTCTTGCAAAAATAGGAACTGCTAAAGAGTATCCAAAGAAATAAGATCATAAATATATACCTTGAGCAACTCCATTTCCTCCTTTGTTGGGCAAAACTTTATGAGGTTATCTACCTGATCGCCGTCTAAAACAGAATCATCCAGAGCAAGGACTGAACTCTGTACAACAATAAAAGGAATACAGATGATAGATGCAGGTTGCAGGTCAGAATGTTTCCAGTGTGCACAATATGGAGCAAAAAGAGAAGGGCATTTATTGACCAGATATCAAGTAATGGCTAGTTAAGCAAAAACAGAAGCATAAAAAATGTTGCTGTTGCAACTCATTGTTTCCAACCTGCACCCCTTTATACTTCATGGCACACATCTGGACTTTATACATCACTTCAGCCTTCACCATAAAAGTTGTGTTCGATACTCACATAGGCTTTTTGGTGAAAAGTGAAACAAAAAATGTTGAAATAGCTAAACGCATAAAGTTATTGGAAACTTAGCACCATAAACATATAAAATCATTCTCCATGCAAGTTCTTACCATCAAATCAGTCAATGGCATCTTCACCTTGGTAAGCATGATTTCACAATTATTAGCCCTTCTAAGATCAATCTGCAAAACAACATATGCAATCATCAACTGTAATATCATAAAGAAGTAGTGCGGGTTGCTAAACCTAAACGTTCAATCAAAGATAAGCAAACAGAAAGCAAGTTCACAGAGAGGCACCAACTTCTAAGAATTGCCAGGTAACTAAGGAAGTGGCTCTAGCTAGTGTACCTCTACATTTCTGTTCATGTGTATAATGCTAGTTTCTATATAATCCAGTACTACATTATTCTTCTGGATTTCAATTAATTCTACGTTGATTCCTTTACAATTATAAGATAATGATACAGCTGTAGCAGCTCGGATTTCAATTAATTCTAAACACGTCATCCTATTTTATCTCTTACAAAATGTTGTTTTTGGCACTAATACTTCTCTTAGATCTACTATGCCCGCTCAACACCTCCTATTCCTCGATTACCCATTATACCCCTTAGCACATGTTCCTCCGGTTGTAGTTGCTGCTGAAGGGGGGAAAATCAGAGAATTCTTTTTTTTTTGGGACTCAGGAGAAGAGATCGATTTTCTGTGTGTTTAGAGGAGAAGAACTCCTCTCAATTTATAGGCATTCTCTCAACGCCTCCGTCCCCAAAAATCTGCCCCAGTATCTCTCTAAACCAATTTCTCCGTAAGACCCGTTCTCTAACGGAAGAAATCCCAGAACGTGGGATATTCCCAACAACCGGGTTGGATTCTTAACGGATCGGGTTACAGATTTGGCCCATGAGGCCAAAACCACTTACATCTCCCACTTGGCCGAAATGGCCAAATTCTTTTCAAGCACACACTCCCACTATCCGTGAGATGTGACTCAAGATGTAATTTCATACTCCCACTATCCGTGAGATATATGCATATTTTTACTCTACGTGAATAAGCCGAGTACAACCATTATCCATGATCGTCTCCTTTCATTTTTCATGAAAGCTTCTTTGACTTAGACATTTCTAAGTCCCATCAAACCAACATGTTTGATGAATGTACCTGCTGGGATACCCTTCGTCAAGGGATCAGCAATCATGTCACTAGTAGGAATATAAGTAACACTGACTTCTTCTTTTTCCACAATATCACGAATATAATGATATTGTATCTCAATATGTTTTCCTTTGCACCACTGTTGATCAAGCTGATGGCTGCTTGATTATCACAGTATATCTCAATTGGTCCATCCACCAAATTGAGATCCAAGTCCTTTAGGAACCGTCTTATCCAGACTGCATGAGTAGTGGCCATACTACAGGCTATGTACTCAGCTTCTTGTGTGTATCTTGCCACACATCCCTGTTTCTTACTACCCCAAGAAACAGCTGCACCACCAAAGATGAACAAATGTCCGGAAGTGGACTTCCCGTCATCTTTGTCTCCTCCGAAATCAGCATCGGAGTAACCAAGAACCTCAAGCGAATCTGCTTGATAAACTAACTTATGGTGCACAGTACCTTTCAGGTACTTCAAAATCCTCTTAACAGCCTCCCAATGTGCTGGACCAGGATTACTTTGATATCTACTAACCAAACTCACCGCATATGCTAGGTCTGGTCTAGTACACAACATTGCATACATCAAGCTTCCAACAGCTTGTGCATACGGGACACTAAGCGGTTTCTGCCCCTCTCCAGGACATTGTTCTTTACACAACCGCTTTCCCATAACCAAAGGTGTTGGCGCAGGATTACAATTCTGCATCCCAAACCTTCTAAGTATCGTATGCAAATACCTTTCTTGATTTAGACTTAACATTCTAGACTTTCTATCCCTAAGGATCTGTATACCAAGAACATAGGATGCATCTCCCATGTCCTTCATCTCAAATTCACTACTAAGTGCTGACTTGATTCTGTTCAGCACTTCTATGTCATTTCCAGCCAGCAAAATATCATCCACATACAAGGATAATATTGAGAAACTGCTACCACTCTTCAAGACATATACATAGTTATCCAATTTATTTGCAACAAAACCAAGTTGGATAACAGTATTGTGAAATTTGAGATACCACTGTCTAGATGACTGTTTTAAACGCTTCCAGCCATTGTTCTGATTCATGTGTGTTCATAGCATCCACATAATTCAAGGGATCAGCTTGCTCATCTATGTCAATGTCTACCGAGAAACAGGATGGTTCGCATGAATACAGATAATAATCATCCATCCATGCAGGTGTTGTTCTGGGTCTTTTATTACCACTAAGGTTGACAGGTTGGACAGGTTCAGCTGGTTGATTTTCCATAGGCATATTCTCATTTAAGGGCTCATCTTCCATTATTGGATGATTTACTTCATCCACTATGTCCAGGTCATCGTTGGGAACATCATCTAAGTCTAACAGAGGTTGTATTGCCTCTTGAACTTGTTCCTTTTCCTCTAGATTTTCTAGAAAAGTAGCATCTCTACTTTCAATGACCCCTTTCTCTTCATGGAAGAACCTATATCCTTTAGACTTTTCAGAATAGCCTATAAATCTACACTTTAAGGTTTTGAGATCCAGCTTATCTCTAACTTGATATGGAATGAGAACATGTGCAACACAACCCCATTTTCTTAAGTGACTTAATTCAGGTTTGTGTCCATTCCAAATCTCATACGGTGTTGACTCGACTGATTTTGTGGGAATCCTATTCAAAATATAATTCGCAGTCAATACTGCTTCTCCCCAAAAATCCTTGAAGAGACCAGAATATGACAGCATATATCTCACTGCATTCATCAATGTTCTATTTTTTCTTTCAGCCACACCATTCTGTTGTGGCGTGTAAGGCATAGTGGTATGTCTCTTAATGCCATAATGAATGCAATAGTTTTCAAATTCTTTTGAATTGAATTCTCCACCTCTATCAGTTCTTAACACCTTAATATATCTTCCAAGTTTCCTTTCTACTTCTGTCTTGTATCTTTTAAAACATTCAAATGCTTCTGATTTTCTGTTTAAAAGATACACAAAAGTATACTTGGAATAATCATCTATGAAAGTTATAAAATATTCTTTATTACCACGTGTCTTTACGCTTAACGGACCACAAATGTCAGAATGAACTAACTCTAAAAGTTCACTTGCCCTCTGACCTTCAGAAAATGACTTTCTAGTCATTTTCCCTGTTAAGCAGTGTTCACAGGGTAATGTCCTTACACCTGTCAGATTTGGTAACAAATCCATTTTAATTATCTGATCTATCTTTCTATTACTAGGGTGTCCTAGTCTCATATGCCATAGATCAAAATCAGATAAAAGACACGAGGAATAAAGCAAATCAGAATTCTTATTGCAAATTTCAGGTTTTACAACAGAAAGACAGAACAAATCATGTTCGGGTACAAACTTGCCCATAGCAAACACTTTCTTGTCTTTCCCAATAGAGACCCTATTGTTGTAAAACCTAACTTCAAGGCCTTTCTTCAGGAGAGCTGGGACGGAGATCAGATTACGTCTTATGCCAGGCGCATAAAACACTTCCTTGAGAACCATGATGCTGTCCCCAAGATCTAATCTGTACGAACCAATACCTTCAACATCTAGGTAGGTATTGTTCCCCATGTAAATCCTTTGATCTCCCTTCTTCAGCTCCTTGAAGTCGCATATCCCTTCCTTCGTCTTTGCAATATGTCGGGTAGCTCCCGAATCAATCCACCAGCCACCAGCGTCAGTAGTTGCAGCATTGCACTCAATGACGCCGATGAACTCCCGCTTACCGGATCCTCCTTGTTCCGGGCGTTTGGGACCGCCCTTATTCTTCGCCTGTGGACAGTTGGCTTTGAAGTGGCCGAACTTCCTACAGATATAGCATGATCCAGGAGGTCCTTTCTTACCGCGAGCACGTTGCTGGCCAGGTCCTTTGAAGGAAGGCTTGACAGGTCCAAACTGATGAGTTCCTTGTGCTTTGCGATAGTGAGCTGCATTTGCTTCTTCTTGCTGCACAAGGTTCACATCTGAACCTTTTCTTCTAGCTAGTAAATCCTGTTCCATTGCTAACTGGGCTGGCAAGTCAATAACACGTTTAATGGTTCTATTAAGCCTAAGTGTTGTGGCAGCCATATCTAGTGAAGGTGGCAAGCTATTCAAAATAGTTGCCACCTGCAATTTCTCAGGAATTTCAGATCCTGCTGAAGCTAGGTCCTTAGCCATGACAATCATCTTGTTCACATGTTCGGTAACATCTTCACCTTCTTGCATACGGCTTGAATTAAATCTATGCATCAAGAGCTGTATGTTCACCTCAGAGGTAGTGTCATACTTCTCTTTAATTGCAAGCCACATTTCCTTAGCCGTATTATAGTTTTCAAAAATTTTGATTAAACTATCCTCCATGAACATTAACATCAGGCTTTTAGCCTTATTGTCCTTAAGCTGCCACTGATCAAACTCTCTTTTTTGAGTATCAGTGGGATCATCACCAAGAGTTGGTGCAGAAACATCTAGGACACTATCTAGATTGTCATGGATAAGTCCGTACTTAATCTTCCTATGCCACATATCATAGTTGGAACCATTAAGACGTTCTATCTTTGCCAGTTCAGATGCAATCAACTTACTAGCCATGACGATAATAAAGCTGTATGATATTTCAAACAGAATTTATTTCAGGTTGCAAAAAAAAAAAAAAAAAACTAACTTACTTAATTAATTGGTACTAAAAAAAACTTATTAAATTTTTTTTTAAAGATGTACTGTAATTATAAGTATAAAGTTTTTTTTTTTTATAACAACAAGATTAATTATATATACAAAATTAATTCAAGGAAATGAATAAACTATTAATTTTAGTAAAAGTTAACTATTATCAAAGTTAAAGCAAAAAAATCTAACTGCAGCAGACTGAGGTTTTTATGAATATACTTAGAAATAATGGATTAATAAAAGAACTTATCCATTCCTGTCTTGTACTCTTCCACCAAAAAAAAAACAAAACAAAGGTACATCAACTATAAGAGCAGGTGCCTGATAAAGAGTTTAAAAAAAATTCTAGAAAAACGCAGCACCTCAAAACTTTCCCAAATAAAAAATAGAAGGGATGGGTACTTACATAGAGGCGGTGAAGGAAGAGTGAAATTTTTTTTATTTAGAGAACTGGGTTCTTTCTTCCGGAGAGCAGCTGCGGACAAGCTGCTGTGTGGGTCGACGGGCGCGGTTCGGTCGGAGATCGGAGGATGGCGCCGGTTAGCAGAGATCGGAGAGAGGAGGGAAGCAGCTACGATTTGGGCGGCTGATCGGCGATTGCAGAGATCAGACGGCGCAGTTCGAGGTGGCGAGCAGTGCGGCAATTGAAGGGAGGGAGGCTGAGATTTTTTGGGGAAAATCGGGAACCAGCTCTGATACCAGTGAAGGGGGGAAAAATCAGAGAATTCTTTTTTTTTTTGGGACTCAGGAGAAGAGATCGATTTTCTGTGTGTTTAGAGGAGAAGAACTCCTCTCAATTTATAGGCATTCTCTCAACGCCTCCGTCCCCAAAAATCTGCCCCAGTATCTCTCTAAACCAATTTCTCCGTAAGACCCGTTCTCTAACGGAAGAAATCCCAGAACGTGGGATATTCCCAACAACCGGGTTGGATTCTTAACGGATCGGGTTACAGATTTGGCCCATGAGGCCAAAACCACTTACAGCTGCTGTTCCTGCTCCAATTGCAGGTTCTGCTACCCTGGACGATAGTCTTCCATACAGTGCAGAGTGATGGTTATGACAGTAACAATGAATTATTGCCAGTGTACAAAAGAAACAGCAAACAACCGGTTGACTATATAAAGAAAGCTTTAAATTGCAACGGAAAAAAATATCTAGAATCAAGTATTTACCATAAAATTTCCAAAAGAAGATCTATAAGCTTTAAATTGCAATGGAAAAAAATATCTAGAATCAAGTATTTACCATAAAATTTCCAAAAGAAGATCTATTACCAGATGAACTTTGTTTGGTTTCTGCCCCAGTGATAGACGCCTTGACTTATCAGATGAGCCTTGAAGATCAGACTTTGGCACTGCAGCTGAGAAAAGACTCTCAAGTTCAGACATGTCAAACTCTGGAGCCCTAAAGAGAAAGATAAATGCAAATGCATGAGCAAGTCATCTAGAAATCTAGAAAAATGGACTCAGGTAGCAAAGAAAAAAAGGTACTTCGAGGCTTCCTCAGGTTTTTGCGTCTCAGCCCATAGACTTCCCTGCATAGCTCTTGTTACTTTAACCCAATGTAGCGGCTTCAAAGAAGCTTTTTTGGAGGATGATTGGGCAGACTGTCTGGAGCTTGTGCGACTGATCCGTCCTTTCGCACCCAATGAAGCACCGATTGGACCATTCATCCCATTAGGTGGAGGTGGCGCTCCCCTGCTCCCCAAAGATGAAGGTTGAGATGAATCAGCACTAGATCCCTTAAGCAAAGAATGACCCAAAGGAGGAGGCGGAACTGCTTGACCATTAGGCAGTTTCTGGGCAATAGAACCACCAGAATGCTTTGATGAAAGTTGAGGTGGCGGGGGTGGAGATGTTCCTGAAGACGTAGGCCCTGAAAGTGGTGGAGGTGGAGGTGAAGGAGCACAAGACCTCTTGATAGGTGGTGGAGGAGGAACAGGAGTTGATGAAAAAATAAAAGGAGGTGGAGGAGGGGGAGGGGGAGTCGATGAAACTGGAGGTGGAGGGGTAGGGGGAATTGACTTGCCTCCTGAAGGAAGGAAGTGACTAGGTGGAACCCGAGAATTGATGTGAATTTCCGGGGAGGCGGCAATCGATAATGTCCCGTGATTATAAGAGGAAGGTGGAGGTGGTGGTCGTGGAGGTGGTGGAGGGGGAGCACGGGCAGAAGGTTTAGTAAGCTTTGAAGGTGGAAGTTCAGGGTTTGGTGGTTCTTCTGGTGATTGGACAGGGCTTGTAGGAGACAGCAAAGATGGTGGAGTTATTGGAGCTTTCATGGTAGAGCTTATGGCAGAAGATACTTGAGTGAGCGATGGCCGCAGTGGCGGAGACAAAATTTTAGGTTCAGCAAGTGCTGCAGATGGTAAAGAAATCTTGGTACAGACATCTTCAGATAAGCCATAACTAGCTACATCTGCAAGTGTCGGAGAAGATGTAGACATTGTCACTGAATGAGCAACTTCAATCGACGTGTGATCTTGTAGGAGAGCTGTAATTCCTAGAGCTGAAGGTGCACTGTGATACCTTGAAGCATGTACAAGAGAGCTCTGCAGAGAATTGATGGATGGAACTGAATTCGACCAAGATTTTGGCACACGTTGGGATACAGTTGTAGGTAGAGAAGGATGTTGCAGCGAAAGTTGCAAGTCTTGGTGCTTAATATCTTGGTTTTCTGTTTCTGAATCAAGAGATTGTTTCTGAAATGGAATAGGTTGCTGCTTCGAATCAAAAGGAGATAATGATGTGATTCTATCAATGACCTCATCTAGTTTCACTTTCTCTTTAAGCATCTCAGGACTAAGCTTCGGCAACAGCTCATTTTCAACTTTCTTCGGAGAAACTGAGTTGAGCTTCTCTTGAAAAACATTTGAAGAATTTAACTTCTGAAGAACATGAAGTGCAGTATCCCCTTTCCCATCTACCCAATCTATTGAGCTAAAGATCTCCCGAACCCGGGCAAATGTTTCCACAGGAAGACCCTCTTTCTCATCACCATTAGCCAAACCCACAGTAACAACTGAAGCAGCTGCATCCATTTCTGAAAAAAGAACCTTCAAATAAAAGAAAGCTTTGTGTCACAGTGCAATTTAGAGAAATGAACTCGTTTTGCAAGTGAAAAAGGTACAGACCTCGGCTCTGAAATCCTTTGGAAACCGATCTTTTGCATCCCACAGGATGTCAATCTCATCCCGATTGAGCATCAGAATGTTAGACCTGATAAAGGCTGTATTGAACATAACTCTGAACATCATCTGCTCACGTTCCAGATCCTCATCCAAGGTAATGCACTCAAGTACAACATCTCCTTGTATGTGACAATGAATATCAATTTTAACTAGTTCACAGTCTGCCTGCATTTATATCAAAGTTAAAGTACATACATCTTATAGACCTCCATAGACTATTTCATACTATAGATTTCATCAATAGGTAGGTAATTAAATGACATCTGCATTAAGCTATCTTCTGAGGTGTCTTTCACATATAAAAATATGGAATTCATTGCACTTAAAAAAGACTGTCACAACGCAGGATACTAAAGAGTGCAGAATTCTAACTGTCACAGCACCCCTGTCATGAGAACATGGTAGAAGACACACTCAAATGAGAAAACTGTAGAAGAGTTAAGACTCACCTGTTTGTAAAGCCGGACACTTTTGCTCTTCTTGGGTATTGAGAATAGTACTTTAGGAGTCCGGTCACAAACCAGAAGAGGATCCTGCCCATAAATACGAAATATCGGCCTGCAACCTCCATCTCCATCAAAGTTGGGAAGAATCCTAAGAATGATGCAATCCAAAGTAAGTGCCCTATCGAGAGGAGGCCACTTGGAGCCAACATTCCTCCTTGAAATGTACTGCAAGTATCGCAGCTGAGAAGGCAATGGATTCAAGGGAGACAGCAATTGTAACAGCTCACACGGAGCTTGCTTGTAGATCATGTCCAATGTTTTTTGTTCACCAGTGTATTGTTTCCGATAGATCAAAAGCCCTGCCAACATAAAAGAAAGAACAGGCCATCCACCTCTCTCACAGTGCATTAACAAGACATTCTGCTGATCCAATGAAAGCCAGCTCTCGCTCGACTTCAGGAAATGGTGGATCATCTCCATTGTCAGTAAAGGACACCCTTCATAATGCCGAGGGTAATCCATCACAGTCATATCATATTCTGATAAGATGTCAGCTATTTGGCTTTGATGCTCACCCTCCCGAAAGTTGAAGACCATAAAGGAGGCTTCAGGGAAATGATCACGAAGTTGAGTAACAATACCTCCAATGTACACCTTGTACTCATCGTCTCCCAAAACATCCGTTGTGAAGCAGTAATCAAACACTGCAGATGGACATAGATGGTGAAAGACAAGCACAACAAAAGCATTTTTGTTCGGCATTATTTTTAGCATAAATTTAAAAATTTCAACCAATCGGCTATTGCCTTTCTTATTAAAAGTGAACACTTAGTGTAGCCAACTAAGGGGACGGATTTATATATGTGATTAGGAAATCTAAACTATGATCAAATAGTGTTTAATGTAATTTAGGAAGGCCGTAAATGTCAGCTAGTGCCAAGTCTTAGAAAAGTAGTTTCTAGCAAATTCAGCATAAGTATTTCCCTTTTATGAAAGGATTGCCTATATAACAGCTTGGTTATTGTCGGACAACTCGGTACTAGTTGAAATTAGATGCATGAGCTCCTTTTCCTTTTTCCTCTCATAACCTCTGACGGTCTTCCTTTCTAAGCTCCTAGACCTAGAAATTCTCAGACTTTGGTCTGTGTTATTTGGCATCAGAAATGAAAAGACCCGGTAGCATTCCAAAATCCAATTGCAGTGCCTCAAGGATATGAACGATGTCATGGAGAAAATGTTAAAAGGGCCCTCACAACGAAAAAAATTGTGACATAAAAGGAATATGATGCGAGGACAGCAGCAAAGAATTAAGGCAGGTGCTTGACCATAGCTATAATGGCAGACCATCCCTTCAGATCATAGGGTAAAATATGATTCCAAAGTAAAAACACTTCTTACGGCTGTGAAGAAGGCTGCAACCAACATTGGGACTGGGGTTGTCAAGGCAACTTACTTGGCGTCCAAGATCAGCTCTTTCAAAGTCTCATCATTTCATGATCAGGATCTTCCTCAAGATGAACAAGAGAAAGATCATTGGCTTTGAGTGTAGTTTGCAGCCTTACTCCGATTCATGGTGATAGTATTAAACATGACATTACATCTCCATTTCTTTTCAACATATTTTTCTATAGAATTTATAAATTCATTATCATTACATCTCCATTTCTTTTCAACATATTTTTCGATAGAATTTATAAATTCATCATCATTAATCATTCTCATAATTAATATATATTATATAATATTATATATATATATTAAATATATATATATATAATATATATATAATATATATATATATATATATATATATATTATATATATATGAGAGAGGAGGAGAGAAGAGAGAGGTGAACTTATGTCAACATTACAGTGGACAGAGGCTTTGTCACCAACTTTTATCCACTCTACAATATTAAACAAGTTCCTTCATATCTTGCATGATGCCTATGTATCATATCGGATAGGAAAGTTTATGTGAGTTTGTCGCACTTAAATTGACATAAACTCTCTCTCTTCTCCTCTCTCTCATCTCTCTATTCATATTAGTATATATATACTTACATATATATATTATATATATAATATATTATATAAAATATAATAATATATATATATATATATATATAATATATATATTATATATATATATATATATACTATGATGATATATCATTGGTATCATATGTCATATGAGGAGGATCTCTCATATTACATGAATGTGGACAATCCACCAAGGTATTTATGGGCATTCTCTCTCTTATTTTTCATTGGTGGAATTGTGCCACATCATTGTATATTGGGATGCTCTCCATATGCATTATGATCACCCGATTAATCTCTGCGTCTCCGTCTCTCTCTCTCTCTCTCTCTCATCTCGGGTTTCAGTCTCGATCTCCTCTCTCTATATATACTTATAGTTATATATATATATATATAATATATATATATATTGTAAATTAAACTGAGTTTGACTTGCATCACTAATTTATCAACATCATAAATTACATAATTCAAACTTCTAAATTATCTACATAGAGGTTACGGGTGTTGGATGAGGCTCTATACTTACCACGGATGCTTGAATGTTACAAGGTGTGACTGAATCAACAAAAATGAATTGATAGAGAACCCAAAAAAAGGGACAGGTTTATTGTTTTGGCATAATTGTAAAAGAGATTTAACAAATTAAATAATTGAAAATTGATGCATACTTAGATAAGTAATTTAGGAAGGCCAATAAAAGATAATTAATGCATTTTTTAATAAAATAATTTATCAAGAATTTCTATGAAAGAAAGTTAAGCATTTCCCTTCATCTCATTAAAGCTGAGACTAAACAAATGTTCCACTAGAATTGTATTATTTGGAGAATTTGCTTATTAATTGAAATTGGAGACAGGTCAGCTTTTTTTCTCTTTTCCCTCGTAATCTCTCCACTTGCTTCCTCTTCTGAGCTTCTAAAGCCCAGTGGTCGTAAACCTTGGACACATTACTTTCTATCTCTCCAATAGTTACTAAATTCTATTTATAACACCTCGCTCACCAGAAAACATTAACAAAAAAAAGGAACGGATGCTGAGAGAAATTTGTCAGTGCACATAATCAATCTAAACCAAGAACTTCCTGGCCTTGTGAGCTGACTTTGACAACAACCAAAATCATATATTTGCACCCACTTCAGAAAGATACCCCGACATCAAGTTTCATCTCTAAATTGATAACTGACATTCTTATTGGGCTGTTGCAAAATGCTCAACCCGGCAAATCTTAATAGTAATATATGTTCAACGGTGCATAAATACTCCACCCCATATGTTAAAACACAATAAGCTCTCTTGTAAGGCTACTTATAACCTAAATAATAAAAATAACACTCGAGATGATACATGCTCCAACCATTTTCCATCTTAACATAACTACATCCTATTCCCATTTTCTCATTTACACGAGCAAAGGTGCCCAATTACTGTGCTGTGCCTGTGCCTCTTGGTAACATTTTAAATAGTAAGAATGCCAAATTTTACCAACAATACTTCAACCTTCACTTCAAATACATAAGTTTCGCTCCTGTAATTTCTTCATCATATATGCTAAATCATATCTGAGAAGTTCAAAACATAAAATGCTTCATTAACTACAGAAATATGCAGAATATTAATGAAAAATATGTCTAAATTGGTCACATATAATAATTGCTAAACCCTAAACATAGCAACTTACTACTTATTCCACACAGGTTAATAACTAAGTTACTGAGCTGGTCCCGAACAAAAATACACACAGAATTAGAAGCTCAAATGTTAAAAAAATGCAATCTTTAACTGAAACCATGAATCACATTGCATCAAGGGAATCAAAAACTGAATAAATCAGGTAAATTTAGAGAAAAGAAAATCGAGCGCACCGTAGACTCTCTCGGAAATTTCTAGAAGGCCATCAGGGGGTTTTCGGTAAAAGAACTTCCTAAACAGCGCCATGCTCCTCCAGATCCGATCAAATCAAAGAATCCAAGAGAACGAAACCCTAGAATGAGCGAGAGAGAGAGCTCAAAAAAGTAGCTCTCATGTAAGCTAGGGGTAAATTGGGGAGCGAAATTCTGCAGGAACAACAGAGCTTAGATTTTGCTGCCGCTTTAAGGAACCGCCCTTGCTTCTCTCTCTCTCTCTCGCCCTTGTCTTTCTCTCTCTAGGTTTTTTTCTGAGATTTTAGAGCTGAAAAAAATAAAAAATAGGGATTTTTTTTTGGATAATTTAATACATAGATTTGAGGTCTAAAATAATTTAAAGAAAGGAGATCTGAGAAAATATTAGCGTCTCTAGCTTGCTCACTCTCTCTATCGGTCTACAGATCGTGATATTTGTACACTCAATTTCTAGTTTTTTTTTTCGCTGAGCTCAACACTAACGCTAAAATAGCGGGTTTCGGATCTTGAATTATTGGATTCGGGTTTGGATATGATACCATGTTGTACTCACTTTAAGCTTGGTTCGTTAGGGGGTCTAAAGAGAGAAGGTGAGAGGACGGGAGGTGTTATGTTTAATTTGAGGGGAAGGGAGGAAAGATGCATTTTTTTCATAGTTCATTTTCTCTCTCCTATTAAATCCGCACAATTTGGAGGGATTTTTCTCTCCCCTCCCTCGCATCCCCTCACCTCACCCTAATGGGCTGTTTGTTTGATGTATTTGGCATTGGGGGTTGGGCAGAAAGCCTGCCAAAAAAACACTTTTTGCATGCTTTCTGCCCAAAACGCCTCTTTTTAGAGGCGTTTGGGGTAGAAAGCCTGCAAAAAGTGCTCTTTTGACAGGTTTTCTACCTAACCCCCAATGTCAAATACATCAACCAAATAGCCTTAACTCCCCCTCTAAAAGTCTCTTATTAATGGCAAGTCTAAATGTTGTCCCTCTCCTCCCCTCACCTTCGTTCCTACCAAATCAAGCCTTATAGCTAGGTGGTGTGGGAGAAATTAATATGCATGTTTGCCCAAATTATTTGGTACCTCTTTTATACAAATTTATTTTCCCACAAAAGGAAATTTTGAGATATTGAATAGTATAAACTTTTCAGTGGTTTATATGTTTTACCTATTTGTCCTGTGGAATGAGGAGAATCTATATTATAAGATAAATTCAGTCTTTTGATTACTCCTTGCATTATTATTTTTAATGAAACACAATCTGTAATTGACCATTGATTTTACTCACATAAAGAAAACGACAGCATATTATTGATTCCATGGATATTTATGATGAGGATAACAGTAAAATTTGTTTATATTTAACTTTATTGATTGCAGACATATTTATTTATTTTCATGATTATGTCACTATATTGATAAGGTTGATGCAAGGAAAAGCCTAGATTGAGTCCATAAGATTGGATTCAACGTTGTGGTCCCAATATCTTCTTTGATGTCTCATGATGATCTTCCATTAATGGTACTTTAGATACAGAAAAAAGCATCAATCATGGTAGGCTGTCAACCAAAGACATCTTATGCCAAAAGAAGACTCTTGTGATGAAGGTCAAAACAATATGCATGTAGGTTAGGGTTTTAGAGATGATAGTTTCACGGACCAAGATTGGTGATACCGACCCAATGTCGAGATGAGTCTTCCATTTTACCTGTTAGTAACGGTTGCATATTTATACTGATTGCGTAGGTAGATTAGGTGTTACATATGTCATCATCCTCATAGCGGAGATAGTTATGATGGTTACTTGCCCTACAAGTAAGTGAATGTGGTAGAATCTCATTTTGCGTAAGATGATACACGCGACGTATGTGTAGCTCAAGCAAATTATGGAAGTTAATAATTATAAATGCTGGTTACTCAATTGATATTTCCTAGCATGATATGCTGAGAAATATGATACGATTCAAATCAATCATCGCTAGCAGGACAAAATCACCATAAAACCATGTCGGGTTAGGATAAGTCATGTTAGGTGAGCTAAGACGAGCACAATTGTCATGGACCCCTTTTACCACATTCGATATTTTAGGTCAGGCTTTTGCCCCCTAATCGAATTATAAGTTTAGCGCGGATGTTCTAGACTTTAGCTGAGTTAAATGAGTTATCTCATTGGCTGAGTCAGCCCATTTTCCGCGAGATGGTCTGGCTAGTCAAATTGTGAAATCTAAACATAAGCATGATAGATAGTCTGTCATTTTGTCTTATGAATATATTTACCACGTATGATGTGACTAAAAAGATTCAAAATGAATAAGTATACGATCATGTCTAATACAACCTTAAATGCCTCACAGTCTACTGTGCTAACTACTAAACGTAAAAAAAAAGTATTCCCTTTTTTCAAAGATAAAATAAGATTGCACGGCTCAAAGAATTACGCATAGTGGATGGCATAGGATCCGGCTATAAGATCCGACCCGCTGTCCGACTTATGTACATATATCACTTTCTTTACTACTTTCCTTTTTTGTCATTATCCTGCATGTATTTTTCCATTCACATGACCCCAACGGGCCCAGCACGTGCACTCGCCGAGGACAAAAGGGTACAACATTTTTGGTGGTTACACCTTTTGATCCTACGTGGTACATATATTTAATGTCCAAATCCGATAAGAAGCAAATATAAAATGGATATTTTTTGGGCGGGGTATGAATAACGGGCTATATTATCAAATTTATATATTCCTTTAATTCTATATATAAACTCCGTATATTTTCTTATTTCGGTAACAGTAATGTATGTAAAATGCGGTACAGTGATAAAAGACCTATATTTTGACCGAAGCACACTATCAAGTGACAAAATGTTATGTGCAACTTACCGCGTGATGCTAAAGCGACTACTTAGGTGGTAGATTGTAAGGCTCGTTCATTTGAACCGAAGAAGATTTTTTTTTTCTTTCGCAAATAAGAACTTAAAATGTGAAAATAAAATTGGATGTTATTTTCCCTCCTAGTATTAAAATGGGATTAGGGAATTCCTGCAATTTGGGGAAGAATCGATCTTTCCCTCGCATAACAAGAGAATAGAGAGAAAAGACAGAAGATAGAAACATTCTTGGGATTTTTCTATAACGGTGTGTTAAAGATTCTACTTAACCTTTACCATAAAAGCCCAATTAAGTCACGTAAGAGCGCACTTGCAAAGCACATGAGGTCACCTTGCTCGGAATTTTACTTCGGCCCAAAAAACAAGTATTGTTGTCACCGTATCCTACTTCATATAAACTTTCGTCTTTGGAATAAGAAAACATACCAAGTTGGTAAGTATGGCCAATAAAATACATGAATCCAGTAACTTAGCCATGGGTAATGACATGGATATAGATAAATACACGCATCTGTATCTGAATATTTGAATACAGGTATTGATTATATGGTCGGTATTATTTCAGCTTTACATTAGTGGTTCCAAAACTAATATTGATGATTTTGTTTTATTTATACAACTGGATCGAGCATCATACGATCCATACATTTGTTAGTTTTAGTCTCTTAGATGCCAGAAAATGGCATCGTACGTTATTTTGTACCGCAGTTCAAAAGGTGAAAAGGATAAGTGGGACAAAGACAGTGCTATTCTTTCTTAGGGCCTGTTCGTTTGTTTTCAAAAAAGCAAGAAATGAAAATGGAAATAGTGGAAATCTCAAAATAACCCATTTCTTCCATTTTCATCCCTAAAACTCACCCACAACATCCAATAAAATATTATTTTCATCCAACAACTTATCCACATCATCTAATAAAATATTATTTTCATCTAACCACTCATCCACCACATCTAATAAAATATTATTTTCATCTAACAACTCATCCATCGCATCTAATAAAATATTATTTTCATCCAAACATCACTCAACTCATCTCTTTTTATTATTTCAAATCACTCACATCATCGAATAAAATATTATAACAATTCACCTCATCTCATTAACATTTCATTTCTTCCATTTCATCCCAAAAAGTTGTGAAAACACATTTCTTAATCTTTCTTCACATCAACCAATAATACAATGACAACTCATCTCATCTCATTTCATTTCTTATTTTTAAGAATGAACCGAACAAAAGAAAACAAGAAAACTACAGGAAATAGGTTTCTTATAATTAATTTCCTTATTTTTTTCGCCAACCGAACAACATCAAAACTAGTTTTCTTAAAAAATCACTCACATCATCCAATAATAATGTGACAACTCATCTCATCTCATCTCCATTTCTTTGATTTCCTTTTTTTTTAGCCAACCGAACACTCCAAAACAATTCTTCATTTTCCATTTCTTTGATTTCCCATTTTTTTAAGGCAAACGAACAGGCCCTTATTCAAAGATGCTTCATCCTGAGGTTCTTATACAAGTAACTGAGGTGAGATGACACTAACGTATTAATAATTTAATAATATTTAAAAATTGTGACTCTAGTTGGAGATTAATATATGGGCAAAATGGTCAGATTGACATATTTTTCGAGGATTGGTGACATATTTATATATTTTCTTTTAGTTTTATCAGATTGGTATATCTTTTCAACTCCGGCATCATACAGCATCATACATGCCTTAATTTTGATCGGATTTACTGTTAATGCTAGGGTTGATGGGATTTTTGGCAGGAACAGTAACTAATTTTGACCGGAACAGTAACTAAAATTAGCCGAAACAGTAATTCTGGCCAAATTTAAGGTCTATATGATGCAGGAGTTGAAAAGATATATCACTCTGATAAAACTAAAAGAAAATATACCAACATGTCACCAAGCCTCGAAAAAATATACCAATCTGACCATTTTACCTATGAGATGCTATTAATCAACAAGGACCCACATGCTCTACACATCAATATCATCTAGGTTGATTTTAAAATCGTCATCACAACCGAAGAAGAAATTATAAAGGTCACGGAGAAATTAACACAGAAAGTTACAGAATATGAAGGAAGAAATTGCTCGCTTTAGCTGAGGATTTAGTTATTTTCATGAAATGAAATATACTGGGAAAAAAATATAATAAAAGAGACGTGGTCGGCAGGATTCGAACCTGCGCGGGCAAAGCCCACATGATTTCTAGTCATGCCCGATAACCACTCCGGCACGACCACTTTGTTGCTGTTGTGATTGGAAATTTTAAATTCGTCTTAAAATACATCATTGAAGAGAAATATATGGCCGGAGTTTTAGTCATTTTAGGTGGACTCATTTTCAGACTTTGTGCTTTTAATGTCTTCGGTGATTTTAAGATATCAATACCAATTTTTCATTACAATAAGGGGCGAATGCTTACTTTCGCTGGCAGCGAATAATTTGATGAAAGCGTCAATGCCAAATTTTCGCTATAATAATGGGTGAATGCTCACTCTCAGCGAATAATTTGTTGAAAGCCTCATGTGACTATCACATGATTTTCTCGCACAACTAATGTGATGATCATCATTAACCCATTACCACATGAGTATTTAAAACGGTCCACATGAAAATCACAGGATGCTTTCACGCTATTTTTTAGGCCCCTAACAATCAGCAAAAATTATGTATTAGTACCTAAAAATTGGTGGAGAAACTATAAGTATAAATTGAAAATTTTGTCCTACTAAAATACCAATTGGGTAAAAAAAATTTAGCCATTTCATCTAGCAATTATCTTTGAAAGATTGATGGGAGGTTGATACGTTGGTAATTTTAGAGAGCGGTAAAATATCGACTCAATCACAAACCATTTCCACATTTTCTGTGAAATAGAATTCGTGGGTGACGGTGGGCGGGTCAAAGTCCCTCAGACGCCGTCCGGTTTCCTTTTCCCAGGCCCACAAGGCCCATTATACCCGAAATAAAAGCCCACCGTTTCTGCCACGCTAGCTGACCTGCCACGCGTCATCATCCTATTCGCCACAATGACGTGGAACCGAGGCACAAACATCCCCACGAAAAGAGCGGGAACGGCACCCAACGCGACCGTGGGAAGAAGAAAAAGCTCAGACTCCGGGTCCCGTCACCGCCGTTAATCTCACCGCTCAAATTACAGTTATACCCTCAGCTCAAACCCTAATCTATGCCCCTCCCTCGATTCGCGCTTCCCATCCTCCTCTTCTTCGGCCTAGGGTTCCGCGATCTCTCCCCAGCCCCGGCCGCTGCTGCGAAGGACGTCGAGGTTGGGAATGGAGCCCTTCTGATCCTTCTGAAGCCCTAAATGTGCGATCTTTTGGCTGGCGATTGTTGCGTTTTCGTAATTTTTTTTTTCGTTTGATTTGATGTTGCAGATAACATATGGGAGCGTTATCAAGTTGATGCACGAGCGGACGAAGTTTCGACTGCATTCGCACGAGGTTCCTTATGGATCGGGGAGCGGGCAGCAGTCGGTTACCGGGTTTCCCAACGTCGATGATTCAAATAGTTATTGGGTATATATTTCTTTTCCTTCTATTTTTTTTCTTCAAATTTTGTATTGGATACTGTGATTTTGTGAAAGATGTGAACTTGCGAGATCACTTGGGAGTGCTTCAATTTTTTGATAGTATCACCTAATGTTAAGACACATTCTGAATTGATTTGGGTTCGGCCTCTAATTACCTCTCCCACGCATTTCCAGTTGTTTATTAATTTTAGTTAGTTAATTAGTAGTCATCTGCTGCATTTTTTTTCTTCTTCCTGGGATTGTGTTACAAAATTTTTGACAAATTTAGTGTTAAGGATGAGTTTTGCTATGTGAATGAAGAGCTTTCCATACTGCAACTTTTAGCACATTTTCGCACGTTGAATATGTTATTGATGGCATGGTAATTATTTAATTTCTCCATCTGTCCTAACTTTTTAAAACTTTGTTTTCATGTGGTTTTTTCAGATTGTCAGGGCTCAACCGGATTCATCTGCCAAACAAGGTGACATAATACAAAACGGAGATATTATAAGGCTGCAACATATGAAGACACGGAAATGGCTACACAGCCACTTGCATGCTTCTCCAATTTCCGGCAATCTAGAGGTCGGTAGAATTCTCCGTTCGTTTTCTGGTTATCTAAAGCAATCATAAATGGCAGCAACTGAAGTTGGTTCTCCTGTCTTATATCAGAACCAGTGAAATTATGAAATATTTCTCTTAACAATTTACAGATTGGGATCAATGTTAAATTATGTGCGGCAATGACGACATGGAATGTTGATTTAGGTTTGGTTGGCGTGGTCGTCACTGCTTGATTGGTGGGAAACTGTATTGATTTGATCGTGTCTCTGTCTGAAATATGGCAGTAGCTCCTTAGGTCAACTATTGCCAAGAATGCTTAAACCGCCATGTTTAGGCCATTGTAGGCTTTGACCCTGTTTTGCCTGTTTATGCACCCTTACCAATTTATAGAATATTTGTTTTCACCTTTTGCAAAGTATTGCCTGATTGTTCTTTTTTCTATGAGCGCGATACACTTGTCGATGTTATACCTCATGGATGCTTATATAATATATTACTTGATACAGAAGCTATTAGAAAAAGATCAGATCTCTTTGCTGATTTGGGCGTGTGTTTTCATAGCGTATAAGTTAGTGGTGGGGTGAGTGAGGAGGTTATTAACGCGTCCTTTCACCAAATAGCTACTTGTAAGCATTCCAACACCCCCCATCATGATATCTTAACACATCAGGGGACATCAATTGACCATGTATCCATAATGGTGCATCTCTTTGGCATTATATATTTTGTTGCATTTTCACCATCCTCTCTTATGATTCGCATCGCATGCATGTCTCCCCATTCTCAACTTGGCTGGCAATTCTTGACAATTTTTTACTTATAGATAAGCTGCTTTGGAGGTGATGATGAGTCAGATACTGGAGATTTTTGGAGGTGAGAGTTGGTAGACTTAAAATATAAGGAAGAATAATTCCTTATGGTAGTTTCTTTGTTCGAAAGGTTGCTTATCAGCTATCACTGCCTTTCAGATTGGAAATTGAAGGAAATGGGAAAATCTGGAAGCAAGACCAAAGAGTAAGACTGAGGCACGTCGACACGGGTGGCTATCTACACAGTCATGACATGAAATATACTCGTATAGCCGGTGGGCAACAAGAGGTAACATGAATTATTTTCGCTCTTGGGGTGTTATTTATAGTTTACATAATAGTTTTAAAACATTGTAACCTGTGTTCTTTGAGTCAATCCCCATGTTGAGAACATCAATTAACTTGCTGTAATGTTGTTTTGGATAGATGAAGTAGCAGATAGTAGGGTAACTCTTTTACTTTCAAAACTAGTCCTTGTGCACTCCTTTCTCTCATTTATTTGTTCCAAATATAAAATTTGAACTGTTTCTTGTTCAGTCCCCAAAATGGTGTGAACTTAGATTTCAATTTTGTTGATTTAGTTACTTCTCAGTGATGTGCCATTTATTTCATTACAACCTGTGGTCTTATGGCCTATTTTTTAATCGTGTGGAAAGTACTTTCAAGTATTTCAACGTGTTCTTAAGCAACATTATGCATGGATTAGGCAGCAGTCATTAGATGGGTCAGCAGTATACATGAAGGAATGAGGCTTGCGACTATTAAATCTTGATAACTAATTAACTTCCATAAATATTTGATGGAATTATGCAGTCCAAAAGTTTTTTTTTTCTGGACCAGTTTGGATTTTATTTTACCATTCTGATTACATTTTGCACTAAAAGAAACTGAATTATGCTGGCCCTCAACTTCAGATCACATGATCTGATAATGTCAACATTTTAAGATTCTGAATTAGTAAAAAGTATTTCTCAAATATAGTAAACCTCCAAAAATTATTTCCTTTCTTAGCCCCTCTCAACAACGACCGATATATAGAAATGGAGATCAAATGATTCACCATTGAATTACTTTGGCAGGTGTGTGGTATCAGAGAGAAGAAGCCTGATAATATTTGGCTGGCAGCAGAGGGTGTGTACCTCCCCATTAACCCGAGTAAATAATCGTAATATTTTCGCCCTCCAAGTTCTAGTTCAGCATCATAGGTGAGCAATCCAATCGGTAGATTCTCCTCACATCCGATCAAGATGCTAATTAGTTGCTTGTATATTTTACTGCTCGGAATCCATCAGGTCAAAGGTTGTTGCGTGTTGATGATATGAGAAATTATAGGTTTGTCGCTGTTACTTGATCTAGAGAATGTTTGTGTACTGAGCAGCGTGATCTCCTCTTGTTAACTGTTGGAAGTTTGTTACTTCATGCAATATTACAAAACTTTTGACGCTAAGAGATGAGAAAACATTTTGATGTATTTAAGTAGAAAATATAAATCTTAATCAAGTTGTGATATACCGTAACACCGAAGTAAGAGCTCGTTTGGTCGCTCACCCACTAATTTGGATAAGAGCACGCACTTTATAAATATTTAAAATGTGTTTGCCAAAAACTTGTGGGAGATTAGATTAGTTATTTTTGGATAGCTCCTATCTTAGTTTAATCCTATCATGCTTAAAGCCTTCACCGTATTACCATGAAAGTTGCCAAACACACCCTCGAAGGAAACAGATTGGATTGCCGTTAGTAATATTTTTGTTTTTTCAGGTCTTTTCGAACTGGGGACGTATTAAGGACATAGCTTATGTTTTAATCACAGACGCAATACACGATGTTTGACAAAAATCAAATAAAATTACGCTTATAGCATGCAAAATCCTAAATAAAAGTAATAAAAAAATCTGGCTTGATCGGGAGTAGTCGCGTAAACACTGCCCTAGAAGATTAAGGACCCGCCTATCGCCCTGCGTCGTGATGATCCTCTCTCCTAACGGTAAAAACCTCCGGAATCGGCTAACCTTTAAACTTGGGCGAGAGTGCAGAGCTTCTGCTCAGATGAAGAAGGTTGCCCAAAAACAAAACAATTAAACTGTAGCAAAGAATTTTGGAGAGAGAGAGAGAGAGAGAGAGAGAGAGAGAGAGAAAGAGTTGGGTTTTAGAAGAGAGGAGAGATCTTTCGTTTTCTGTGTTTTTTCCGAGAATGAGAGGGCTAGTATTTTTATAGGGTCGGAACCCTGAGAGCCGTTGCTCAAAATTCACGCACGTTTCTGATAATCCGCGTAACTCCCCGCATGATCTCTAGCCGTTACTCACGTTGCTAATTACTGAGTCAAAAACGTGTAAAACGTGCAAAAAAGAAGGCTGAAGAAATAAAAAGAACATGTGCGCACGCGTGTGTTATGCAAAGGCCAAACAATACAAAACACAAAACATTACTCAAAACCCAATAAGAGGTGAAGCAATTTAAACCCCTTACTATTCATATCACTATTCCATGTAGGACTATTCCTGAAGGCAAAAATACCTTTTCTCCCGCAACATAGCCAACACACAATAGCTCGCGGCGGCTTATGTTATAACCACAGAGGGATTCTGTATATAATACGATGAGGCAATTTCCACTTGTCTTCGTCCGCTATCCAATATCACTAATTTCTCTTTTCTCAGAAATAAAAACAGTGAACTCCCAATTAGAGAGCTAATCATCTATTATCTTCTGCTTACAAACATTTATTCTATTTTCTAAGAGTTATCTACAAGGTATACATGTTTACAGATCCGATCGGTCCTTCATTTTCTAATTCAAAGTGAAAACCATTTCATGTTGTATGCATCTAGAATCCAATTAACAAGAGCTCAAATATCTTTACTACTGATACATTAAAATTACCAATAGACTAGTATTCCCTATTCACTGCACCCTGCGGTGAAATGCTGAAGGCTACTGTTGGCTACATTTGGCCGCCAAATTACTCCGTATGATTTGAGGAGCAGCGGTTTACGGTGAAGAGATGCAGACAAAACTTTAAAAGAAGGTATAACTCAGCACCGAACGAAAATCCCAAGGTAAATTGCCATCCATCAACAGAAATTCTCCAACCACAGAATTTTTTTTTTTCTTCAATAAAAAAGAAACTAAGGAGTAGCATATAATCCAAGTTGGCCTCACAAACACTTGGAAATTTAAAAGCATGGCTTAGCAAAATCCTCAATTATATTATTTCTGTTAAAACTGATAAGCTTCTCACTGCCACAGATCTATAACTAGATACCATCTGATGATAACTGATGCCTCCAACGAATACGCCTTTTGTCGGAGACATCCAAAGTTTGTCACCACGGATGAACCGGATCCTATTTTCCCTGTCGTCAAAAAGACGTTGAGCAGGAAAAATTGTTTAGATGAAAATATGATTAGGGGATAACAAAAATATATGAAATCTTTTAAAGTGTATATCACCTTTGAATATACGACTCTTGCATAAATAAAATTAAAAAAAAAGGAGAATGGAAAAGGTGGAAATTTTTATTGGATCTCTCTTTTGCATATCTACAGTTTTAGGCCCCTGCAAAAATAATAAAAACACGGACCAGGGGAAAAAATTAGTACACTAGAAACCAAGAGGTGCATTGGCGATAGAACCATGTACATTAAAACTAAGGCTAAGGCCTTTTCCCCCTAAAAAAAGAAATGCACAATTAACTGAAAAAATAACATGACCAAAGTCAGTGAAAAAAATGAAGATTTTGAAAAGTTATTACTATATAAACCTACATGTTTTTATGGTCACACTAAGATTTCCATATGCATTTTTCCCAAAGAAAGGAAATGGCAAAAATCAGGATTCAGTGAATTAGTCATCAAATAATATATACCAACTTTCTACCCAGATTACTGTTTGAGAGCCACTGCCGTGGTATTCTATAGCGAGACAGAATATGAATCAGTTAAATCCTAAAAGGGCATCAGAAAGAAATGGAATAGACAAAAAATTCCAAGTGAAGGAAGTATTACTTACTGGAACTGTCATATTCAATCCTCATCGCTATCAAACACAACTGCCTTTCTGCGTTGAGCTGGTGCTGCCTTTCTGGGAGGAGAATCCTCATCTGACTCGATCTCCTTGCGCTTGCGACTGCTTCCTCCAGTTTCCTTCTTTTTCCTTGGTTCCTAGAGCAGGTAAAAAGTTTAAAAATTTACTGACAGAAACAAATTCATGAACCATCTTTAAGGAACCCCCTACGTGTGGGCGGGTGGCAGTGACATCCCACTGCCAGGAGGGAGGCTCGAGTTCAAGCCCCCCTCTGGCAGTGGTGAGTTTAAATGTGGCTTTAACACTGTGGCGCCACGCCCTGTCACCTGTGTCTCTTAAGCATCCTACTTACCTGGCTCTGGATGGGGTAGGGGGGGCCCAGCAGCCAGGGGTTTTTCTTGGCTAGCCCAG